CTCTTCTCCACCTCCTCTCTCTCTCTCCTCTTCCCATTTCCTTTTCTTTTCCCTCCAATCCAGTCTATCTTTGATATTTAAAGGTTGTGATATTGGATCTTTTGGCCAAACACACCATTGAAAGGGTATACATCTCTTCTCCAGGATTTTACTCTCTTCTGTTTGTAGTCCACAAGAAGACTAAGGACTGGAGTTCATTATCTGACATGTTGTCTCTCACCCACTTTATAGTTGCTCTATGATTTCAGTTGGAGAATTTCTTTTCTCTCTCTAGTGGCCCTTTACATCTGGGCTGTGGATGACCAAGGTCACCCTCCTCAAAATCCTGATTGTCCCATCCTCCAGACATCCTTGTGTCTTCCAATTCTGTGCTCTTCCCATTCGCATAATGTTGGCCCTTTGTGTATTTGATTGAAGACCTTTTCTCACCATTTTCACAGCCTGGGACTGAGATTCCATTTCTACATATATGATTGGCTCTTCTTAGCCCATTTCCAAGAGATATCCTCTTCTTGCACCTCTCTTTTATGGGAGGCTGCTTGTCCAACTCCTTTCTTATGCTCATTCAATATTTGGTACATTTGGGCATTTTCTTCAATTCCTGTCTCAGCTGAGCCCAACTTTCTCCCCTTTGCTTGTCACCAAGATTTGTGCTTCTCATTCACATCCTGAACAAGAGGTTCATTTGCTTTTGGGGATTCTGGCTGTCTTGGATCCCCTTATTCCTTTGGGGAATGAGGGTATGCAGCTCCTTCAGTGGACCTTACAAGACCAATGAAATCTTTCTTGAGATCCATTGTCCTCAATCATGAACCTCCTCTCCTCTCCACTTGGTGGCTAGACAGTGCTAATAGTAGTTCTGATGTTCCCTTACAACTCTCCAGATGGTATCTCCATCTCTTCACCAATGCTTCCCTCTAAAGTTTGGGTGCTTCTTTGAAGGAAAATATGACTTATGGCATTTGAATGCAGGGTGAGCATTCACTCCACATTAATGTGCTCAAACTTCTTGCTGTTCATTGGGCATGTTCCTATTTCCTACCCCTTCTGGTGGATCAATTGGTCCTGATCCACTCCAACAGTTCCATGTTGTTTCTTACATCAACCATCAATGGAGCACCTATTCTTCTGGGCTCATTCTTATTGGATTCATCTTGTTGCCTGTCAAGTACCAGGAGGCATGAACCTTGTGGCAGACTTCCTCTCTCAGTCATAGTGGGTTCTAACCACAGAGTGGTCTCTTTACCCCAGGTCTTTCATTGAGTTTGCTCTCATTTGGCAAACCACTGATAGACACCTTTGCTACCCATCTAAACTTCCAAGCTTTCTCTCTTCTGCTACCCTGTTCCTCATCCTTTGGCTCTGACTGTCAATGCTCTCAGTCAGGACTGGTCTCACGTTTTTATATATGCCTATCCTCCTCTTTGCCTCCTCCCTTGGGTACTCACCTTGATACTTGATACACTCCTTGTAGAGTCCTACTGATCAGCTCAGATTTGTTTTCCCTTGCTTCTTTGTTTAGTGTACAGATCCCCCTCATTCCACAACCCATTGACCCTCCTATATTGCTTCAATATCACACTTTTCTTTTTTTCATCAAAGGATATCATCTCATCATCTTCATGTGTGGGACTTGTCCAGTCCAGCATTCATTAGACCAGACTCTGATTATGTAGCCTTACTCTTGTGACATTCCTATCACCCTTCCACTATGTCTGTCTATCAACAAAAGTAGCAGATCTTTCATCGTTGGTCCATCCACCATTCTTTTCCTCCCATCCATCTTACTCTGAACTTTCTTTTTGCCATGGTTTGTCAGTCTCTCAAGACTCATTTCCTCCATCTTCTCACCTTTGGTTGCCGTCATTCAGATGTCTGTGCTATTGATGCTTCTCTTACTCTTTTCCCCTGAACTTATACACTCTTCTACCTGGATTGATCTTTCCTTCCTAAGTATTCTTCCACTCAGAAAAATAAATGTGCCTTTCCTCCTATTTTTCTTCCTTTTATCTCTCACCTCTATAATCTTTCTGACCCAGATAGGTTTCTATGTTCTGTTCAGGCTGTTCAGTGCTACTTATCATGGACTTCTCCTTTACAGGGTCCCCAACCTTGTTACTTCCTACCATAAGATCATTCTTCTTCCAGGGATCTCTATCCTTCTACCCATACTAGATGGATCTGTCACCTTATCCAGTTGTATATTCTTCCCTGAACATGGATGCTCGCAAGTATCTCACATCTCTTCGCATCAGATTCATCACCTGTATCACTCTTTTGCTTCCCACCTTTTCTGGCCTATGGACAAGATCCTATAGATGGGTATATGGATAACTCCTCATACCTTCATTGCTCCTTATCTCTTCATCTGGCTCTTTCATCTCCCTCAGGATTTTGACTTCCCCAGGTCACCATTCTTCAATTAACCCATTGTCTTCGAGATGGGTAAGTATGTTTTCTCCCTTTTGTCAGATTGAATCCTAACAGGTGGCTAGTGTTGCCTCCCAGGGTAGGCCTATTTTCCAAAATTTTCATTGGGCCAGTGGTAAAAGAAAGTGTTGAAACCATCTGCTGTAGCCCTACAAGTGCTCACTGGGGTGTTCTGCAAGACCACTAAAGGTATCCTTATGGTGAACAAATTAATTCAGTTATCTGATCCAGATTATACTAATTCCATGGACCATCATGGACAAAAACCAGCACCAGGGAAGTGACTGCCCACTTCTTTGCTTGTGCTTAACTACTTCTAAAGATAGAGTTTCATGGTCACCCAATGCACTGTCTCCAGTACAAGACCTTTCTTGCTGGTGGTCTGATGGGGATTCAAGCACTTCTCTGGGTCTTCCCAAGTGGAGCATGGAAGACACTTGCCAGTTACCAGTTTCCAGTCACTGGGACTGTGGGCCTTAGAGAATCCTCACCTGTTGAGTTTAGTACAGTACAGTGAGAAGAAGGGCAGTGATGACACTGTCAGTGTAGTACAAGTCACCCCTTACATAGCCAAAGTCTGTCCATTAAAGCCAAGGTGAGCACGCACTATATGGTCTGATCATGCCTTAATCACACTACACATATTGGTTTGCTGACAACTTGTGTACTGGTACTTGGTTGTTCATGATTACATTCTGCCCATCCCTGTGATACTTCAGACTCTATCGTTTTTCCCTCCCTTTCATCTTTGGTGAAGAGTAAGTCCAGGTCAAGACAAGATGTGGTCTCCTACAGCTCTGTTCCTGTGGAGCCCTACCATTTGGTGTTACACTCCATGGGCTTTCCCTTTAGTTACATTCTGAAGGAAGCTCATCTAAGTTTCATTTTTTCATTGGCTCCTCCACCACTTCAACACAGGATTCTAGTATTTCTATGTGTATAGGTGAATTATTATCTCAGAAGTTAACATTTTCTTAATCTCAAAATATATTTCCAATAGATACACACCTGAACACACATTCCCAGCCATCCTCTCCACTTCTGGTGCACCTTTTTTTTTCTCTTGCCTCATCTAATAATGAGGTTATCATAAGTGCAAGTGCATAGGAGGAGTTGCTACACATGGAAGTTGTGTCACCCTCCTATTGGTGGAGGGCTATTATTGCATGATGACATCATCATGCACAAGCGCAGTTCACGTTAAACACATTAATTTGGGTGGGACTTGGCTCAAGGCTAGTGGCATGCAAATCTCATTTGGAAATACTATTTCTGTGTGTAGAGGTGAGTATTTATCAGAAATACATCTATAGATTAGTAAAAAAGTTACATAAAGCACTACTCTTTCTGCCAATAAGGAGTGCTGCAATGTAAAATCAGAGTAAAATATACTTCTACGTGAGTGAACAACACATTTTTTACTGTTAGTATAATACACTAAAATATCATTTGATTTCTTTGCAATATACATTCACTACATAATCTTGGTACATTGTAGCTTACACTACACTACACTTATAAGGTTTTCACTAGAATAGTGAATGCACTTTTCATATTTTTTGTCCTAATTTTAGTACTAAAAATTTTAACTTGTAGTAAAAATTTTCGTTTAGAAATTTGTTAAATATTTTAGCAATTAATTTTTAATTCTGATCAAAATTGATTTTCTTGTTTTGTTTTTATTAGTAAGTTAAAAGTAAATTACTTTTTGTTTAAAGATGATAACTTATATTCATGATATCAAACATAAAGCTCAGAATTTGTATATTTAAGTAATGTCATTTGATATTGAGAAAAAACCAATTTTTTTTCAGTAAGAGAGAATTTGATGCCTTGTTAGCTAAGTGGAAAAGTGCAAATGATGATGATGAAGATAACCCATTGATCATCTCAGAGTCTGAAATTTTAGCTTTGAAGGACAAGGTACGGCAATTTCTTTGCTAAGAATATATAGTGGAATTATATTTAGTTAAACATGAAACAACTGGGTATTTTTACTAGGAAATCCTTGTTCTATTATCCATTTCTAGCTTATTAGCAATTTTTTAGAAGCTGAAATATAGTTTCCTTTTCTTTTAACAAGCAGTTGCAGCCCATTAAAGTTCTCAAACCTATTATCCCTATTATCTTTGCATGACCCAGTGGTTATGCTGCAGGACTGTGAAGCTGAGGTTTTATGATTGTCTTCCTCTTATCTCCAAAACAAAATCATGCTCTTCACTTTGAGGCCACGGGTGCATTATAAGAGTGAAGGTCAAATCCCACTGTCTGAACTGACAAGAGGAGTCCAACAGCTGTTGGTGGATGATGTTGTTGAGATGCTCTCTCTCTATCTGTGTAACCTGTCCCTAATTTGTGAGTGGTAGACTAGATTCACAAAGTACATGAGGACTATCTGTGTAACCTGTCCCTAATTTGTGAGTGGTAGACTAGTCCTCATGTACTTTGTGAATCTTGTCCCTAATTTGTGAGTGGTAGACTGGTTACACAGATAATCCTCATGTACTTTGTGAATCTAGTCTACCACTCACAAATTAGGGACAGGTTACACAGATAGTCCTCATGTACTTTTTGAATCTAGTCTACCACTCAAAAATTAGGGACAGGTTACACAGATAGTTCACATGTACTTTGTGAATTTAGTCTACCACTCACAAATTAGGGACAGGTTACACAGATAGTCCTCATGTACTTTGTGAATCTAGTCTACCGCTCACAAATTAGGGACAAGTTACACAGATAGCCCTCCTGTACTTTGTGAAACATCCAAAAAAACAAATCTTTATAGTCTTCCATGTGTGAGAAATTCTTTTAAAAGATAAATTAACAGATTCTGTTTACATTATTTTATCTTGCAATATGAATGTTTTCACTGGTATTTTTGTTTTACAGACTCGACGACATATAAGACTTCGGGAGTTGTTGTTACATTACTCACGTGATGCCAGTCTTATTGTTATGTAAGTATTAAAGAAACAGCCACAAGTATTATTATTTTAGTGTTTAATTGCTGTTAGCCTTGTTATGTATGCAGTGCAGTAACTTCAGTTAATAATAACTCTAGAGTATTGTGGGCACAATTCACGTAATACCAGTCTCATTTCTTAAAAGTATTGATATTGTAGGAGCTTGTGTTACAATATATGTGTACATATATGATTATTTCTGAAGTAAAGTTTTGTCAGAAAATAACGTGCACTTTTATTAGACAAAAATTTTACAGAACATTGTATGAAATGGCCTTACCTGTGAAATACTGAGTTGAGTGTTTTATCAAGAAAAATATTTTTAATACACTACCATCTTTTTGTATGATTAGAGGTAAACTTGTTGGCTATTATACAGAAAATAAAACAACTGAAAAACTAGACTAAATAATGTTCTATTAATAGTCCAATAAAGACTTGTACTCTGAAAAGTTTAGTTGGCGGTCTTCAGTTGTGAGTGTAAATTGTGTGATAGATTAAAAATTAAATTATTTCAACTTACATAACATAATGTTTAAGGACAACAAGAGACCTATTGATCCATCTCAGCTGTCCAATCCTCTAAACTAAACTAAAACTATAAAAAAAAATCTTAAAGCCAGCCCTTATCATTCATATGCTATCAAGCTTTCTCTTAAATTCACTTGAATTTGCTGCCTCTACAACATCTGAAGGCAACTCATTCCAGAGGCCAACCACCCTGTTAGAAAAAT